GAAACTTTATATGCTTATTCCAGTTGTATAGAAATTTAATTCTAACATCTCTTTTTAGTTCGTCAATAGTCTTAAATTCAAATTTTGGTTGATGAAACGTTTTTTTCGAACAAAAAATGTTAGGATTTGAAACTCCTTCTAGACTTATCTGATAAAGATATGCTATCCATCAGAAACTACAAAACTAAATCTGTGTTAGTAAATTTGTTTTTGTGTGTCCGTGTATAGACATAAACAAAACTAACTGCTGTAGCAAGTACAAATTTAGGGAACATTCGTTATAAGAGGAATTTGGTTTCATCAGTCGTCAATACATAGGAGAACGTGTTGGCTTTACAGTTGTTGGAAGTTCTGAGTCTCCTGGGGGACCGATTTAATAAATGCATTAAGATGGACAAAATTATTTTCACAACATTTTTTATTTGAATAACTCAACAGTGATGATTGATGTAATCTTCTGTTGTCGATATTTCTGCATGGTGTAAAGTGGTGAATTATAAGAAATTCTCAACTATTAGTCTAAACAACAAACACTCTTATACACGTGTTTGTCACTTGTGTCATATAAAATGTGTTCAATGTAAAACCTATGTACATGGTTCGATGATAAACACTATTAAACCTCTGTTGAATTAAGTTCACAGTACTGAATCATCCAAATCCATTATGATTTCTGACACAAATCCTACAGATTTGGATAAAATCAACAATTGTAAATTTCTACGTACGAGAACGAATAGGCTTCGTAGTTGTTTTAACCTCAGAACCACCAGGGGGACCTGATCACAAAAAAGACAAAGGACATTCTCAGTAGTAATCTGATTGTAAATTATTCATTGAATTCAAACACAGTAAACAGTTTGGAATATTGTTATCTTACATTCTGGAACCCTCCAAACCAGATCAACATAAAAGCTAGGTAATATCTATTCCCAGAAAACTTTGCAATCAAAATTATTACTTCGTTTAGATTGTGTAGTTGAAATTTCTGATGTAGCTCTCAAAGTTGTTATCTCTTCACTAACAGCTGTTGATGTCGTGAAAATTGTCATATTTGTTGTCATATGGGTTGTTGTATATTCTGGGAGAAGATAAAATAATACTTTGTTAATAATTGTGCCATCGTGAACTGTGCAGAAAAGGATTCAGTGTTCAAGACAAAACAGGCATTATTTCCTTGGAAAGAGGTGAACGAACGGC